AAAAAAAAAAAAAAAAAAAAAACATGTCTCCATAGAAACCAGAAGCGGATCCAAATTTAAAAATTTGAATTTTAAAATTCATCACTGGACCAATGGATATGTTAGTTGGGCTCGGACCCGTCGGTTCAATTTATATGATTTTTTTTTTTTTCAAGCTTGGATCAGATATATTTTCTATTCCACTTTAGACGCAAATAATTAGATGTGCCAGAACACACAGTAGTAATACTGCCACTTTAGGGCTATAAACTTGGTCAACCGGCTCGGGACCTGGCTCGGACCCGTTGGTGCCACCTGTAGTTGGTGTGATTAATAAAAAGCTTAGCTGGACAGGATTTGGCAAGTCCAATGTACAGGTCAACTTTAGTTGACTTTCCAAAATTCAATCAAGTTAGAGAGGGGGAAAAAAGAGAGTTTAGGAGCAATGAACACTGGACAAATATCAAACGTCACGTAAAGTTTTTGGATCAATTCAATGCATTCTTACCGAATTTTTTTACTGTGTACCGAAAAAATTCAATGGATTCTTACCGAACTTTTTTTTTACTGTGTTGATTTATGTGATCAACGGTGAAAAAATGATGAAAGACATGATAGATTTTTGTTTTTATTTTTGTTTTTATTTATTTATTTGTGGATGATCGTGTGAAATTATGAATTATCTATGTTCATGAAGCTCAGATTATATTTTACATCAAATTATAATATATGTTGTAATGTCTAAGAATATGTGTAGTACAAGTTGCAATTAATATTTTATCCATGTTAATTGATCGATAATTTATTGTTCGATTACGAAATATATAATAATATATAACTTTTGTCGAATACAAAATAAAAGCTATTTTCATAAACAAACATTAATCAAACATTATTTAGAGTTTTCTTTACCTCGCTTGTTAATGTGAAAATATTATGTGAAAAAACAAAAATAAATATAAAAATTAGAGATCCTATAAATACTTCAAACATTAATACTTGACATTAAAACGACAAACCCCTATATATATTAATTCATAACATGTTGAACTTAAGTGACAGATTCGCATGCTTTGAGATCCTATGTGGCGAAATTACATTCTTTGTTATTAAGACTTTGGTAGATTTGAATTTACTTTCAATCCAGAAATAATTAGGTCCGGATTATTCATAAATATATTATTATTTATGGTCATGTTACATGTATTAATTTTATTTTAATATTATTTCGTTATTATAACCACTCAAGTGTAAATGTATTTTAAAAGTTAATAACTTTTGTATTTTTTATCAGTTTTACATGTATAATATAACAATAAGTCATATAAGCTTCAATTTTAACATACATATTGTATGTATAAAGAAAATAAATTATATTTATTTTTATAACAATAATAAAATTATTTTTAAGTATTAGTTAGAAAAATAAAATTATTTATGTAATCAATATATTTATATTTTAAGTAGTTATATGATATAAGTTATAAAAATGACTATAATATAATACGTGTAAGTCCCACAAGTAACAAATGTCATTATAAAAAAAAATACAATAATATATATTTTTTGCACAAAAGTAAATAAAATTTAAAATAATTTTTCTCATTAATTTTAAAATTTAAAATAATTTTTTAACAAGCACCCGTGATCATGGACGGATGGAGATGAGGCCCATGGGCCCCCTTCATTTTTTTAAAAGCCAATATATATATATATATATATATATATATATATATATATATATGTATGTATATAAATATATATATAGAAAAATTATAGACAATTATATAAAAATGCAAAAAACATTTATAATATATAAATAATTAAATTTCATTGACTATGTTAATTTATATTAATAATATTAAAAAATGTACTAACAATCATTATTTTACATTTCCAAATAAGTTTAAAAAATATTGATAGTGATTTACTCTTTCGAACTCTTAATTGTAAATCGATTTTGAGATTTATAAAACCATGTATTTAGTTGGATTGTTACGTTATAGATTGTCGAATTTTACCCTTTTTTTAATCACACATTTGTAACTTTAATTTTTTGTTCTTAAAAATGTTCATTTAATAAACTCTTATCAACAAAAGTGTTATGCAAAGAGCTGGAAAAATTCAATTCAAATCAAATTTTCCAGAAAAAAAAACTTACTTTTTCATAAATTATATTTGTTGGACTTAAATTGTAAATACATGAAATCTTATTTTCTTTTTTCTTAAAATTAGAACTGGGGGAAGAGAGTGCGGTCCCACCAAATGAAAGCGCACCATAAGAGGGTGAGCCTAGATGCACCTTAGTGAGGTTCCATCCCAAAACCAATTGGTGATAGGAGGAGTAGCCCACTAGGCTTATATACTAGACTCATTTTCCCTATAGAATCAATGTGGGACACTCACAAGTGATATTCCAACACGCCCCTCACTTGTGAGTCCTTCGTAAGCCCAAGCCCACATAGCAGGTCGGGTAGAGATAGTCATTGCAGGTCCTAGGACAGGCCCGCTCTGATACCATATTAGAACTGGGGGAAGAGAGTGCGGTCCCACCAAATGAAAGCGCACCATAAGAGGGTGAGCCTAGATGCACCTTAGTGAGGTTCCATCCCAAAACCAATTGGTGATAGGAGGAGTAGCCCACTAGGCTTATATACTAACTCATTTTCCCTATAGAATCAATGTGGGACACTCACAAGTGATATTCCAACACTTAAAAAAAAGTTTGAGAGTGAGACGAATTCTAAATTTTTGAAAACTTGATGACATCGATATTAATATTTATAGTAATTACATTTTTATATGAAATGAGTTGTTTCGATTTAAACTACAAGTTCGTTATTTGACATTAAAAATTGGGCCCCCTGACTAAAATTCCTAGATCCGTCATTGCCCGTAATACATGGGTGTTGTACTAGTTGTGTGTATATGTAGAAGAATGGATGACTCTACTTGATTAAAAAAAAATAATTTTACAACTTTAAAATTAATTAAATTAGTTAATGGTATCTTAACATTTAATCAAATATTATATTATAAATATCTATAAATTTATACCAGAAAAATTATATTTTAAGCCAACATACTTATAGTAACTAGGCTAATTCTTTATAGTTCTCAGACTTTATTATATTATTATTATTATTAGTAGTGTCATTTTTGGGTCCCCATTCTTAGTGACAGACCAACCTCTCTTTGTTATTAAAATAAATAAATAAATAAATAAAAGAAAAGAGTATTAAATATTTTATTTGGGATTATTATTAATGTCGAAAGGAGAAAGAAACAAAAGGCGCCGCAAGTTGCTGTTCAGTGTTTGGCTCAAGCTGACGTAAGCGCTGCACGCGTTCCGATGATGTGCTAATCGCCAGCTGTCTGTCTATGTGCTGTCAACCACACGTGTGCTTCCAGATTCTTCCTCATCTCACAATCCACCTGTAACTACAAAAGTATAGAAATGTTCCCTAGTCACGGTACACACATGTTAATATGCCCACCGCGTAGGTGTCATGCAATCATTGGTAATGTTAATATGTTTAAAAAAATATATCACCAATAAATGCATGCTACCTACACGATGAACATATTAACATGTGTCCACCGTGGATAGTTGAACATTTTTTTAAGGGCATTTTTTGAAATTTTCAATTGCGATGAAAATTATAACTCATCAATCGTTAGGCCACATTGAAAGACAAAGGATGCAGTTGGATATGAATCCAATCTATTGACCAATTTTGTTTGGTTAAATCTATTGAAAGTGAAT